TGTCAGTACCACTGCAATAACTATTTTCAGTGTGCAGACAGTCTTTGTTTCCCAAATGCTCTTGTTAGTGTTGAGGTTTATCTGATCTCTTCAGGAATTCTCTTCTTCCCTCACCATGGCTTTCAGACAAGCAACACACTTAATATTTTAGGGGCTCAGGTGTATTTTGTAGGACAGCCTGAGGAGGTATCAAAGGGCTTAGCCTGGATTACCATTTGGGCTGCAGAAAACTCTGCCAAAGTAGAAAATTTTACACAGCTGAGCAGTCTGGACCTTGCTCCACAAGACTGACATGGCCTGATGTGCTGAGAAAAAATAAAGGCAGGATTTGAAGTGTGTTTCCCCAAAGCACAGCTTGGTTAAGAACTGCTTTGGGGCAGCTGAGAACTGCTGAGGTGGGTGGTGTTTAAGGTACTGGGGCCATGGGGAGCTGGGGACCCACTGGGAGCTCTGTGTCCTCCTGTTGGTGGGATCCTGTAGGAACACATCCCTTTTCATTCCTCATTTGTGATGCCAGTCACTGCTGGTCACCAACACCAGGGGACATGGGCAGACATGCTCAGTCCTCGTGTGCATGTAGCCAAAATCTTGGATGTCTCTATGTGTCTGTTTGTCCTGCTGTGACAGACACCTGCCCTGACCCTCCTGCTCCCCTGGGATGGGGTGGAGGAGGAGGACGAGGCCCCAGCCCCGTGCCCTGGGTGGCAGTTGGGGTGTCTGTGTGTGCTGAGCCCCGGGAGGATCCCATCATCATCATCATCCTCAGGACTCGACTCCTTCCCCCGAGCAAAGATCTTCCCAGTAGTGGGCAGCAACTTGATGTTTTCTGCTGCATTTTGGATTGTTTTTCCTGTGATATTTGCTCCTGCCTTTTCCCTGCGGGCAGCCTGGAGCCCGGTTAACAGCTTGGTTTGCTCCGGAGCTGCCTCTGAGCCGCGGCTGAGGCGTCAGCGTGAGCTGGGAACAGATGCTGAGGGGATGTGGGGTAGCCTTTTGTTCCTCTCAACATTTGTCTTCCCGACCATAAATCTTCCCAATAAACTGCCCTGAGTGACACAACCCCCTGCAGCTGCTGTGCTGGGTGTGGTGCTCCAGCCGTGTCCAGCCTGGCTCGGGAGTGCGGGGCAGCAGCTCCTGGGGAAGCTCAGCCCATCCTGGCACCAGTGCCAGTCCCACCTGAGGATGTCCCTGGGCTGGGACCCCCCTGGCTGTGGAGGGATCAGGGGGGATGTGAACGGGGCTGTCTGTGCAGGGGGACCAGCCCAGGGGCACTTCTGCATTTCAAAACTTCGGGGCAAACTGTGGGTCACAGAATGTTGGGGCTGGAAGGGCCCTCTGGAGATCACCCAGTCTGACCCCCCCACTGAGGCAGGGTCACCCAGAGTGGGTGACACAGGAACATATCCTGGTGGGTTTGGAATGTCTCCAGAGAGGGAGACTCCATGCCTGCCCTGGGGAGCTGTTCCAGTGCTCTGCCACCCTCATGGAAAGAATTTTTTCCTCAGGTTGAGGTGGAACTTGTTTTAGTTTTTGGCCATTGCTCCTCATCCCATTGCTGGGCACCACTGAGGAGGGTCTGGCACCATCCTCTGACACCCCTTGGAGATATTTGTATGGATTGATGGGATGCCCTCTCAGTGTTCTCTTCTCCTCCTGTTCTATGGTGCCTCATATGGGTCACATAATCCTCCTTCTGGTGGCAAACCCAGCCCCTGGGCCCAGGCTTTCCTCTCCTGCCTCCCACAGACCTGGACAGGTCCCACCTTACCCTTTGTGCCACGACTTTGGTGCCCTCCTGGAGTGCCTGGACCCCTCTGTCAGACCAGCTATTTAAATTGTAAAACACTCAGCAAAGGTAGACAGAATTAAATTTATTCCTGAATTGCTGAATAATGTAATATTCGTGTTGTACATAAAAGAATCACAAACCACCCAGCCTGATTTTCCTATGAAAACATTTAACTTTTATTAAATCAAGACAGTTTTAAGGAGCAGCAAAAAAAATGAAAGCAAAAACAACAACTGAACCAGCTTTCAAAGTTGCCCTGTAGCCAAAACATCCATCTGAGAAGCTGAAGGGTTGATTTTATTTGTTTGTTTGTTTGTTCTTCTGTTGGAGGGTATCACCAATAATTAAAAAAAACAAAAAAAAAAAGAGAGAGATGCAAGTTCAAACCCTTGGAATAAATTAGAACAGGCTCCTCAGCCTGCTGGGAGCTGCCTACAGCTGGTCTGGCATCTCCATCCGTTCGGGAATGCTGTGGTGGTGGGTGAGTGGCCCCACTGGCTCACCCAGGGCTCCAGCACAGAGAGGACGTGGATCCTTATGGACCACAATCCCAGCCCCACAGCCAGTGGGGTGCTGTGGGCAGGGGCACGGGGTGAAAACCCACTCCCATGGCACATTTATTGCTGCTTTGTGGGGCACTAAGATGTGTGGGGTCAGCACCCGAGCACCTTGCAGGTGAGACTCCCCCCAGGCCAGGATTTGGCCCTGCACCTATAAAACATTCCTGACCCATTAATGATCCTTCCCAGGGAAGTGGCAGAGGACCCTGTGTGCTGGAGTTAAGTCAGAGAGGCGAGACAAAGCCCAGGGGAGGGTCTGCGGGGAGCAAACCTGTATTGGCAGACAGTAAGATAAATTGGATGATCTAATAGTCCTTTTCCATCTCTAAGTTTTATGATTCATTTGTTATTTTAGCCATCTATATATATTTTTTATTTTACCCTAGAGGGGTTTCTTGAAATGTGTGCAATATATTCCTTAAAAAAAAAAAAACCCCTTAAAAAAAAAAAAAAGAGGTCGGTGTTACAGGATCCCAGGCACCGCCTGGGAGGGGGTTTGGTAACGAGTGTGGGAGGGATGGGTGGCCCTGGGGGTCACCCGTGGGTGTGGGATGGTCACAGCAAGGGGTGAGGAGTGGGCAGAGCCTGTCACTGGATTTGGCTCTGCAGGAGATGGGCAGCTGGAAAAGGGATGGGTGATGTGCTCTGGAAAAACCCTGGGGTGGCTTGGGAAAGGAGATTTGAAGGAAGTCAGAGGAGGACACATCCAGCTCTTCCCTCCCCTCTGCTCTCCTTCCACAGGTGTGGGGACACCTGCCCTGTCCTTCTGTGACCTTCAGGGACAGACAGGATGCCGGGAGGACGCGCTGCCCTCGGGATGGGCTGGCATGGGATGGGCTCCGCCGCTCCTGGTGTGTTGTGTCACAGCGAGGAGGAGCAGCAGAGTTAAACCTGGCTCGGGCGATCCTGTGCCCACCAACATTTAAGGAGGACGAGCCTCAGGAATCTCTGCCCCGGAGAGAGCTCTGGCTCCTGGGCAGTAAATCACCCACGGGGTGGGCGGTGGGGACACAATTCCCGGCGCGGGGGGACAGGGAATACCCGGGGACAGGGAACATTAACCGGGGGACCAAGGAGTGCCCGGGAATAGGGAGTGCGAACCCGGGACAGGGAATGTCAGCCCGGGCGATCCGTCGGGGTGGAACCCCCGGAGGGGGTTTTGGTGTCTCAATCTCTCCTGGTTTGTGGCCGGCGAGCCCCGAATTTGTGTGACAGCAGCGCGGAGCCTCCTGCAGATCCCTCCACAAATAACCTGGAGTGGCCAGAGCAGCCACGGGCGGGGAAGGACAAGCTCTGCACCACCAATGCAGGGCGGGGTCGTTGGGGATTCTTCCCTCTTTTTCTCACTTTCAGTGATTATTATTTAAGGGAAAGGAGACTGCTAGAAATTGTTCGTGAGTTTTACTGAAACAGGCACATTCCTGTGGGTTTTTTTCACTCCCACAGCCCCTCCAGGTCAGTCCTTTTCTTTCTCCGCAGAGAAAGAAAGGCAAAAAAAAAAAAAAAGGAAAAAAAAAAAAAGAAAGAAAAGAAAAACCCACACAAAAATCAATCCATCAAATGTCATTACAGATTTATTAAGCCTGATGTAGAAAGACTTTTAACAGTAACATCTTCAGAAAGCATAAAAAGAGCACTTCTGTTCAGTCTTGTGCTTTGAAAATCTAAATATATTTTTATCATATAAATAATTCTTTTCATGTTTTAAGTGCATCTGTTTTTTTTCTTTTTTTTTTCTTTTTTTTTTTTTTTTTTTTTTCCCTTTCCCTTTTCAAATTTCCATTTTACAATTGGCCAAAACTGAAGCCTGCATTGTCTGAAATGAAGCCATTTGCAAAGCTAATGATGTTGTGAAGCATGTCTATGGTGAGCCATATCAGCTAGATTTCAGAAA